ATCACCGGGGACACCGAAACTAGAAAGCTGTCCCGAGACCTTCACATGGGCTTCGTGATGAACACACATGTGAAAAATAAGACAAGGGCTGAAGAGATGGCTCAGCGGTTAAGGGCACTGACTGCTCTTCCAGAGGACCTGGGTTCAGTTCCCAGCACCCACATGGCAGCTCACAACTGTCTGTAACTCCAAAATCTGACACCCTCACACAGACATACAAGCAGGCAAAACACCAATAGCATAAAATAAAAATAAATTAGATAAAACAAATTAAAATTTTAAAAAGAAAATAGTTCCATTTACTATATCACAAAGGAATTACCAAACAAAGTGCAAGGCCTATGCTATGAACATGATAACACTGTGGGAAGAAATGAATGGAGAGATAAACAACTAGGAAGACATTCATATTCTTGTACCGGAAAATATAATTTTGTAAAAGTGGCAATATTGGAATTTATCCACAGACTCAAACAAAGCTCTGAGAACGACAGCTGTCATTTCTTGTAGAAATTAACAAGCCAATCCTGAAAATCCACAGAAATGACAGGAATCTAGTGTCCAGAAAGATTTGGATGAAGAGCAAGTCAAGCACACATCTTATCTTCCAGATTCACTGAAACGCTGTGGAGCTAGGGACCCAGGGCTGTCCCAGCTCCTGCTGGCACAGGTTGGTGGAATAGAATCAGGTCAAAAGTCGCCAGACCACTGTTTACAGTTTAATGTGGGTAAGAATGGTATTTCCTACAACAGTGCTAAATCAGCTGGATACCCACACAATGAAGGTGGACCCCATTCTCACACCATCTACAAATGATCCAAAAAATGGATCACAACCCTACACCAAAAGCTAAGATAATAAAACTCTTAGAAGAAAAGATCAGTAGGTACTTTTGACCTTGGGCAGGTAAAAGCCTTATTACCACATAAGACAGCAAAAACACCATTGATGAAAATTAACAAATTAAACTTACTCAAAATTCAAACTTTCTGGGCCTCAGAATAATAACACTGAGTAGAAGCTGCTGTGGTGGTACCCGCCTGTATCTCCAGACCAAGGAGACTGAGGCAGGAGGCTCTGGGAGTTTGACATCATCCTGGGCTACATGGAGACCCTGTCTCAAAGTGGGGCAGTGAATACTTGTAAATCATTCATCTGACAAAGGACAAGAAACAAAGGGCTCTCTGGACTCAATGTCAAAAGCAAATAAAAAAGTGGGGGGGGAGGGGCGGCAGCGCATGCCTTTAGTCCCAGCACTCGGAAGGCAGAGGCAGGTGGACCTCTGTGAGTTCGAGGCCAGCGTAGTCTACAAAGTGAGTTCCAGAACAACCAGGACTGTTACACAGAGAAACCTTGTCTCAGAGAAAACAAACAAACAAACAAAAAAAAAAGCAAATAAAAAAGGTAATGAACCTGGATAGACACATCTCATAAGCACATATATGTTCAACATCAACAGTTGACAGGGAGATACTCAAGAATCTGTGACAAAATGATAATGAATGTTGACAAGGATGTGAAGAAACTGGAGGTTTGGGGTACAGCTGTTTAGGAAGATAATTTTTCAGGTTATCGAACAGTTCAACATATATTAACCATATAATCCATCAATTTCATATATATATATATATATATATATGCATATATGTGCAAAAGAATGAAAACATGGTTCCTGCAGATATTCATATGTCAGAGTTCATGGTAGCAATATTAATGCTAAAGCCAACCCGGATATCAACTGATGGACAGATAAAGATGACATGGGAAGACACACAGTGGACTATTATTCGGCAATAAAGAGGAATTATTCCAGTACGTTCTATAGCAATGGTTCTCAATCTGTGAATCGAGACCCCTTTGGGAGCCAAATGACCCTTTCATAGGATTTGCCTAAGACCATTAGAAAACATGAATATTTATATTTCGATTCATAACTGCAGCAAATTTATAGTTATGAAGTAACAAAAATCATTTTGTGGTTGTGGGCGTTACCACAATCTGAGGAACTGTATTAAAGGGTCACAGCATTAGGAAGGTTGAGAATCACTGTTATACAGCATAGATAAATGAAAGAAACTGGTCACAGACATCCATGTATTTTGATTCCATTATATAAAAAGTCTAGACTAGGCAAATCAATAGAGGTAGAAATTAGATTGATGGTTGCCTTGGGCTGAGCAAGAGGAGTTAGAGGGAAATGGCTATGAGCTTTCTTTGGGAGATGATGAATATGGAGTTGAGCGTGCGACTCTGTAGACATATTCAACTAGTATTTAAAAGAGGTAAATCATACGTAAATTACATCTCAAATACACTGTCTAAGTACCACCAACACATACTCAGAATGTTTCGTGCAGAAGGAACTTAAGGGTAGAAAGCCTGGGCCTTCGACCCTGTTAGGTTTCAGTGTGGGGGTCCAAAGGGAGATCCGGATGTCTGAATGATGCTAAGGAGGTCGCCTAGGGCCGACCTAGAAAGAGCTGTGCAAGCCGAACTCCAGAGTTTTATTTAGTCTATAGGGAAAATTTTTTTTTCAAGTGGCTTCAACTGTAAGCGGAGGCTGTCAGATTTAGGTGATATTAAAATGTAGTTGGTCCCAGTGGATGGCCCTCACTTGGAGAGAACGTAAAAGCGGAATTTACAGTAACCTGGCCAGTGGGAGAGCGATAAGATACTTAGGAGGGAAAAATCAATAGGACATTGGCCTGGAGCAGTCACCTGACCTGAACCTACATCAACAACAGTTCTTTGCTACCCTTTGTGGACACAGGATAGAGAGTTCTCCCTTCTACAAGGCCCAGTTCATTACCGGCATTCCCATATTCTAGACACGGTTCTGTGAGCCACGTCCAAGCTTGTCCCCACAGTTGGTAATCTCTGTGGCTCACAGGACCCTGGTTTTCAACCTTTCCCATCTGGGAGCTTTGAACATTAATACCAGGTTATCATGTTCTGGCGTCAGAAGTGGAGAGATTAAAACCTTTTGGACAGTAAATTAGAAGAAAGAAATTACAGAGTCGGAGCTGGGAGCTCAGTAGTTAGGCAGGGTTTAAAAATAATTATCCGGAAGCCCACAGAAAGCTGGAAACACACAGAAGAGGATTTTTAAAGTTCCTACCCAGAGTGAAAGCAAATATGGAAAGGCACGTTAGCCAAACCACGTGGTCCTGCAGAGAGGGACTACCAAGTGGAAAGTTATTTGACAGGGGCGTGGACGCTTTTTCTCCAGTCTTAAAGGGAAGGTTTTTATTCTGTGGAAGCGTTGCTGTGCCCTTTTCCAGCAGGGACGGTGCCAGCAGTACATGGGCAGCAAGACCTTTCGTGAAAGAGTGCCTGGACTCTCCCTCTGCCTTTCCAGCACGCTCTGACCGTCCCTCCCAGTGAAGGGCGCCCTGGCTCCCAGTGTGGAGACAGGAGCGAAACTCCCTGCCACCGGGAAGTGTCCTTAAGAGCCCTACCTTCCACGTTGGAGACGAAGCCCAGGCTCCGCTTGAGGTCAGAGCAGATGGAGTGGAGACACCATCGGAATTTCGCATCGCAGCGGTATTTGTTGGCACCGCAGGTGTCATAGCAGACGTCCAGCTGGTTGCAGCACTTGGTCATCGCCGGGATGCCCAGGTCCATCTGGAAAAGTGAAGCAGGAGAGCGCCACGTTGAGACCCAGGACCTGAGGCAACCCTGTCCACCTCACTATGAACTAGCCACTTCTCAAGGGGGTGCCACGCGTTAGATCCGTTCAGAAACGCCAAGGACTTGGAAGGAGAAGCTCCGAGTCATTGGACGCTGAATTTTGATGCTGTTATTAGCGTCATAAGTGACTCTAGCCTTTTTTTTTTTTCATCTTTCCTTTTGTGAGATTAGTTTATTTTCAAATCCACAGCCAGATGTGGTGTGAACACAGAAACCAGAGGGGCAATCGAGATGATGGCAGAGCATCAGGAGATTCACATGTGGTTCAAACTTTACCTTTGGGCCTGAGAGTCTGCCGAGGAAAAAGATTCTGTGACTACTCGGAACAATTCAGCCTCAAGTAACTGGGGCATGGCTGGTCCTTCAAGGACCTGTCCTCTCTAGCACTGTTTGAAGGGTGTATGTGAGTTGGGGAGAAAAACGGGGTGCAGGACACTAACTGCCCAACCACGTGAGGAATGGCGTCAGAGCACAGCATGGCACGCACTAAACATCCTGTCAACAGCTGTACCGACTGGGGCATCCGATGGGAGAGCATCACACAGTTGGGACACAGGGGTTGTGGGGACAGCGGAAGACTGAGAGCGTCATGAGAAAGGAGGGTACATAGACCTGGGATGTGACTCAGCTGGGAGGGTGCTTGCCTAGCGCGCATGAAGCCTTGAGTTTTATCCCCAGAACTGCATAAACCAGGCCTGGCAACCTGTATCCCAGCATTTGTGAGGCAGAGGCAGGAGGATCAGAAGTTTAAAGTCATCCTCAGGCTACATTTCAAGCTTGAGGCTAGCCTGGACTACATAAGCCCCGTCTTAAAAGAAGGAGGAGGAGGAAGAGGAGATGAAATAAAGTTCAAGTAGACTCAGAGCAGAGAGAGAGAATGAGCAGGTTAACAAGTCAGTTTATTTAGTGCGTCAAAGGTTTTAGCAAGAAACGTACATGCTTACATAGGCAGGGCAAGCATGTGTGTGCATGGAAGAAGCTTTGCCAGCCTTAGAGTCTGGTTCACTGGCAGTACCTGAAGTACCAAGGTTGAGTCTCAGCACCACATAACAAAACTTATTTGCCAAATTGATAAATAGCTTTGCCTTCCGAGTTAGAGTTTCCACATAATCCTGAGCAAGAAGGAGATAGTTTTAAAAAATAAAAACAGGGGTATGTGCACACTCGGTGGTGTGTGAGCCCATTCAGTGATGCATGAGTCATTCAGTGGTGCATGAGTGCATTCAGTGATGCATGAGAGCATTCAGTGGTGCATGAG